GCTCAAAAAGCTCTGAAAAATCTAAGGCTAAGGCTGCACTGTCAAAAAGGAGTGACCTTTTGCCAGAGATGGCTATTAAGCAATTGAAATCTGACTAGTCTGAATTGAGGTGTTGCCGTTAGTGAAATTCACACCGGATCTCAAAGACTTAGTATGGAAAAAAGGAATGTTATGTATCTCCCTAATAACTTTTATTGATTTCTTATAGAAATATTTGGGATATTTTGGGTTAAATAAAATGTACTCTTCAAATTATGTTGTTTCTTTTAGCCTTTTAAATATGGCTACTAGAATATTTATGTTACCAATGAGGCTTGCATTACATTTTGATTGGAGAGCAGGGCTCTCCAGGCCAAGGATTAGCTGTTTCAATCTTAATTTCTTATTGGCTCTGTCTTTAGAATGCTTTTTGTTGCTTCTTGCTACTGAACAAGGTAAATTATGGGCTTACAGTGGGTTTTCTGTAGATAATTCTGAATAGTTGTTGATTACTCACTTAAGAGTCCCTGGATGGTCCCTTTCAGGTAGAAAGGCCAACTTCACTTAGAAAGGGTACAACTAGAGACTCAATACCAGGACTCTTTAGCTTTGTAGGCGATTCCTTGTGGTATAAGAACAAAATAAATGCTTTCCTTCCTTCCTTCCAAACTTTTTGGCTAATCTATGTTGAAAGCTAAAGTGTACCCAGCTATCTAGGATGGACGTTTATGTTCCACTTGTAGCAGTGAGAAACCCACGTGATCTAAAATTCATTTCCTTTACTTTCACTCTTCTAAAATAGCGCATTCTGTATTTCTTGGGGAAAGTAATGTTTGACTTTTTCTCAGTTTTCTAAGCACTTAATTTCCAAGTACTGCATTGGTGATAACATGAAAGAGTATGGCAAAAATTGAAAGCCACGTAATTCTTGTTTGTGATCCACATAATGATTTCTGTAAAAGAGCTCTGGGGATTCTGTCCTGAAATTTTCTGGTAAGATTAAGGCTTTTTATAATGTTAGCAAGTATGTGAAAAATTGGAATATTTATATAGATACATCATTTTATAGAATATGAATGTCTCAGAGAAGAGTTAATGCTCCATATAAGATATGGGTACTATAGACACAGTGGTTAAAATCTTACTTGTCTTGTTAGATTCTGCTTTCAAGTTTCTGATTTGGCTTGATGAACTGGGAAATAATTTTCAAAATAATAATAATTTCCATTCTTTTACTCATTCACTAGACATTTGTTGACCCTCAGCTCTGGTGAGAGGCTTCATGATAAATCAGGTGCTCAACCACAGCATTATTGGCATTTTGGGCTGGATCATTCTTGGTTGAAGAGAGGGTACTCTCCTATGCATAGTGTTTAGCAACATTGTTTGTACCAGCAGCATCCATTATGACAACCCAAAATGTCTCCAGACAGGGTCAAATATTCCCTGGGGAGCAAAATCATCTCCTCAGTTGAGAAGCATTGATGATAGCAAGAAAGAGCAGATGGGAGTTGGAGGTGGGAGTGGGAGAAAGACCAGGGAAATGGCAGTTGGGATTGAAGAGATGAGTGGATTTAAGAGACATAAGGAGGAAGACTAGAGAAGTCTCTGTGATTGGTAAATTGTGTGGACTGAGGGAAAGGCAGGAGTTAGCAACAAGTTGGGTTTGGCCAACTGGAGAGATTGTGGTGCTATTACTGAGCAAAAAAAAAAAAAAATAGTGGAGGATGAAATATGCCAGACAAGAGGAGTCCCATTTCAGATATGGTGGGTTTGAATGGGGACACGACAATGGAACTGTTGTCCAGAAAGTGGGTCCAGGAGTCTGTAGTATAGGAGTAAAGTCTGGACTGAGAGGCAGATTGAGGAGGCCAAGTCTTAGGAAGTGATATCAGGACAGAGTTGTCTTTCAAGAGAAGGTTATTCACCTGCCAGAGAAAAGAGTGAGTTGGATATTAACATCCAATCTGATCGTTTTGTTAGAGATTCTCAAACATTCCACTAAGATGAAGCAGAGAGAAAACTAAAAACACAGGTATCAAAACATTTCAGTATTGAGAGATACTGAATTGAGAGAATGATGGAGGAGGAGGAGAGCTGAAAGAAGAGAGAAAAAGAAATGACATATAACTCAGATAGGTAAAAGTGAAGAGAGGAAGGTTGCTTATTCATTTACTGTTTATTGAGTGCTATTAACCATTATATGATTTTTATTTCAAAGACACTGGGAAATTCACAGATTCTTGCAACCCACTTTCTTATACCACATTTTAGTATGAAAAATTTCAAACATATAGATAAGAGTGGAAAAAATTTTACAGCAATAGCATGTATCTATCACCTACATTATACAATTAAAATTTAAATATACTTGCTTTATTATGTTATCTATCCATATATCCATCCATCCATTAAAGCATCTTAATTTTTTGATGCCTTTTTGAGTAAGTTGCAGAGCTCAGTACATTTATCCCAACTACACTCACATATGCATATTATGAGCTGACATTCAACATTTGTTTAAAATTTTCCAATCTACTTATATTATTTTTATAGTCCATATCCAATTGCCTCTATTGGAAAATGGGTAGCAACTAATTTTATATACTTTTTTTTGTGACCTGTTTGGGATGCTAATACTAAAGACTTTTACTAACAGTTACGCTAGGTTGGAGTCTTGAATATAGAGGCCATTTCTTTTCTGTATCCTGGTACTTAGTATTTGGCCAGGCACAAGGTAGGATCTCTATTTGTTAAATGCATTTTCTGCAGCTAGAGATAGGATATCCTGTCTTGATCAAATGGAGTTCAGCTTAGGCCATGTCCCAGGCATCTTTGGGATTACTAAATACTGTTTGCCTTCATGATGCCCTTACCAGTCCGTGAAAGAATAAACTATGTAGTGTTGTTTGTTATAAAGAATTTGGAACCTAAATCTATAGGTTCAAGTATTGTCTTTGCTGCTATGTGACCTTGGACAAATCTCTTAGCCTGATTCATTTATTAAATTGGATTTGAGGGCACCTACCTACATTTGATGCCCACACTGTGAGTTTCCAACTAGCCTTTGCATGTAGTAGAACTTTGTTGCCTGTGACCTGCTCCCGAATTGTCATCTGTTATTTCACATTCAAAGGATGTGAAAGCATGAGCAGTCTTCACTCTCCTTTTCCTCTCTCCTGTCCTCCCTCCTTGCCTTCTCTCCTTTTTTTTTTTTTAATCTCTGGAACTTAAATATATTACAGAAGTAAATAGTAAACAAACAAAAAAACAAACAAAAAACCCCAAATAGTTCAGAGTCAAAGACATCTTGTCAAGGAAAGAGCAAAAATAAAAATCCATAGTACCTCAGTGTTCAAAGAGGCAGAAAATTCTGAAAGCCTTAGGCGAATTGTGCCCTCATAGAAGGATCCTACATTCTAGAAGAGAGCAGTCTTGTGAAAGAGGGGGAAACAAAGGCTTTTTAAGCGCTCCAGAACTGTTGAGAGACAGGGTTGTTACCCTGCTAGAGTTATTAAAGTTGATTTCTCCAAACCATTTACTCAAAAAGACCACCTGAAGTGACTGGCTGCCTGATTTTAAATTATCTCTTTTTAAGAACATAATTTGAAAAATGCTAGTAATTATTGCTACATAATACCTTTACATCGAAGATTTATAGGACTGTTTTTCTTTGTTGTTTTTTTGTTTTGTTTTTTAGATAAAAATGGTTAAGGAAAGAGGTTTAAAATGTAGTTGACAATATGCAAGGGAACATTTTTTGCTTGTTGCATTTAAATTGCATCATATAATATGTAGTACTTTTTCCTCCTTTGGGCTTACTTTAAAATACACGTCCGATAGCTACTCCATATTTTCAAAGTGGTTACTGATGAATTTGCAACTCAAATACTTATAACATTATTGATTGATGCTGCTTTAATCTCTTGGAGCTTCTTTAGATATCTATGATGTTTAAAAATGTTTTTTAAATATGGGTAAATTAATTTCCTAAGTAACAGTGACAAGATTTACAATGAAGGAAATTTTTATATTAATATAGGACCCAGAATGTTAAGAAACTCTGTTACCATAAACTGTTACAAACTTTTATAATAGAGGCAAGGACAAAGTTTGCCTTGAAGGGTTTGCTTGGGAAGCAGTGGTTTATACCATAACATCTGATTTCATGTGTTTGTGCCAAGAGTGTTTCCTTTTTGTCTTTTTCCTTTTTATATGCAACAACAATAGGAGCATGTTTAATATTGATGAGTTTGACCTCCTGGGAATTATAGTATATGTACCCTTTTGGAATACAAATGCTATTTGATTTATATGGTAAATACATAGAATTTTGGAGATTAGCATTTTAATCAACTCTAAATCTCCTAGGAATTTTTTTTTCCCCTCACCTTGCCATTTTGTCAAGAAAAGTTTGAAAAATGAATTTTTGAAATGGCAGCTAATGTTCTCTCACGTAGATAGATGCAAGGTCTGCATGAAACATAAAAGCATTACTGTATGTAGTAACCTTTCCTAAAGCATGTGCTCAAGCACATTAACACTGTTCAAGATGATCAGTTACTAAAAGAACAATCCATTCATTCAACAAATATTTATTGAAGAGCCATGCTTCTGCAGGCACGTTGGGGGGAGGGGGTGGGTAGTATATATGGCTTCGATATGGTAGGACCTCCAAATTGGAACGTGGCTTCAGTTTCCCCCCATCTAAAATTCTTTTTTGTTTAACTTTTTTCATCGCAGGTCTCGGAGCTTTGAAGTTCCTTGTGTATCTTCCAGCTGACGAACTTTTTCCACGGGGACAATGCATTCGATTCACACGGTGGAGATGAAAGTCCCCGAGATTGAGCAAACATTTTTCGCGCCCCGCTTCGGTGAGGGGCCAAGCGAGGGCGGAGGGGTCGGCGGCGGCCATTGGGGGGCCAGGCCCGGACTGCGTTCTGCGCTGCCATTGGCTGGCTCTGGGTGCTGCACTGAGCATGTTCGAGCCCCGCTTGCTCTGAACTGCAGGCACTGGCACGGCAGCCGCGGGAGCAGGCACGCATTGTGCAAAGAAGCGGCAGATGCGAGCAGGGCCAGCCCCACGCGCGTTGGCCTCCTCGCCCAGAGGCTTGCCGGGCCGCTTGACTGGCCCCCGTGCCTCCCCCTGTGCGGGCTGGGGGCCAAGGAGGGCCGGCATGGCCTGAGTGTTGGAGGCGCCTCGGCTCAGCGGCGGGATTGCAACATGGGGAACCAGGATGGGAAGCTGAAGAGGAGCGCAGGTGATGCCCTGCACGAAGGCGGAAGCAGCGCAGAGGATGCTGTTGGGCCCAGAGATGTGGAAGCCACAAAGAAGGGGAGCGGGGGCAAGAAGGCGCTGGGGAAGCACGGCAAGGGGGGAGGGGGTGGCGGCGGGGGGGAGCCAGGCAAGAAGAAGAGCAAGTCGGAATCTAGAGCCTCAGTGTTTTCCAACCTGCGGATCAGGAAGAACCTGTCCAAGGGGAAAAGCACCGGCGGCTCCCGCGAGGATGTGCTGGACTCCCAGGCCCTGCAGACCGGGGAGCTGGACAGCGCGCATTCTCTGGTCACCAAGACTCCAGACCTCAGCCTCTCGGCAGACGAGACGGGCCTGTCGGATACCGAGTGTGCTGACCCATTCGAGGTAGCCCGTCCAAGTGGCCATGGACCCACTGATGCAGGGGTTGGGGGCAGGGTGGTCTTGGAGGATTTGGAAACAGCCGTGGGGATGCAGGATGGACAAAGGACCAGTTCAGGCTCGGACACGGACATCTATAGCTTCCACTCGGCCACGGAGCAAGAGGATTTGCTTTCAGACATTCAGCAGGCGATCCGCCAGCAGCAGCAGCGGCAGCAGCAGCGGGGCTCCGAGGAGCCTGCAGCGCCCTCCGCAGCCGCCTCCCCCCAGCCCGGGGCCTTCTTGGGCCTGGACCAGTACTTGCTGGGGTCCAGCAGCACAGCCCGAGAGGCCCCTTGCAGTCCTGACCCGGAGCGGGCTCTGTCTGCGCTGTCTGACCTGCCTGGCAGCCTGGCCACGGAGCCCCAGGTGCCTGAGCAGCCACCGCCCCCCAGCAGCCCTGGAGCCTTGGCGATGCCTGGCCTGCCTGAGGGCCAGCCCGCAGCCGCAGCCTCGCCCTCCTCCCCCTCCTCCCCCGCCTTCCCGTTCCCTGAGGCCCCGCCGGGAGAGGGCTCGGCCAGAGCCGCCGGCCCAGGGGCTGGGGACACTGACGAGGAGGGCGAGGAAGATGCATTTGAGGATGCCCCCCGAGACTCTCCAGGAGAGACGTGGGGCCCGGGGGTGGGAGAGATTCCCCCGAGGCTGGGGGCAGAGCCCGAGGGGGAGCCCAGCAGGCCCGGCGCCCCGGCAGCTGCCTCCCTGCCCAGCAGCCCTGCGCCCAGCCCGCGCTGCTTCAAGCCCTACCCGCTCATCACTCCCTGCTACATCAAGACCACCACCCGGCAGCTCAGCTCGCCTAATCACTCTCCCTCTCAGTCCCCCAGCCAGAGCCCCAGGATCAAGAGGCGGCTAGAGCCCTCCCTGAGCCGGGAGCCCAGGGCTGCCCTAGTCTCGGCCGCCGCTCCAGCCAAGAAGCACCGGGCTGAGAGCGGCCTCGCTTGCGGCCTCAGCCGCTCAGCCGACTGGACTGAGGAGCTGGGCAGCCGCGCGCCCCCGGCCGGGGGCTCTGCGCACCTGCTGGAACGCGGGGCGGCCTCGGAGGGGAGCGGCGGGGCGCCACCAGCGCAGGCAGCCAAGGTGTCTGGGGCACAGGCGGCTGCTGATTGTTTCCAGAACGTGTTCACAGGTGAGTGCACCCTGCCGCCGGGTTGCCTGCCAATCAGGGCCTTCCGCCCTCACCTGCTCTCCTTGCTCTGAGACGCCTAGACCTGCTTAGGGCATGTCCTGCCTTCTTAGGGGAGTCCTTTTCAGGTCCTGCACACCAGTTCAGTAAAATTTGTTTCTTCTCTTTTCTTTTCTTTTTCCTTTCCTTTCCTTTTTTCTTTCTTTATATGCAGAGAGAACAACTTTGTTGGGTCTCTCCTAAGTCATCTCAAGAAAGGGCTCCTCTGTCCATTTCTCCAAAACGTGCTGTTCTCTATGTCCAGGGTCCCGCCAGGCAGATCAACTCTTTTTTTTTTTGGCATAGTTAGCTGAGCCATCATTCTCTTTCTGTCCTTATCCCCACAGCATTAAAAAGAACAAAATTGTTAATGATTCTTTGACAAGGGTCAATGTTGGAGAAACAAATAATTTATTCCAGTACTATCCAGAGGCCATCTCTGACTGCTCTAATATGTGTGTGTGTATGTATGTATGTAATATGTAGTTTCTGTTTTGCAGCAATCTGGGTAGACTACTCATAGAAGTTAAGGGAACATTCCTGTTTGCTGATGCAACCAAATCTGATACATGGTATTAGAAAGTTAATAAATAATGAAATAGAATATTAGAGATAATTTTCATTTGGTTTTATGTCCAATCAAAACAGGGTATAGCTTGGAGATAGTGAAGGTGAGAAACCAAAAGGACATGTAATCCAACTGGTACCTCTCTTTAGCCTTTGTAATAGATTCTGATGGGCACCATAAAAGCCCAGCTAGGGGGTCCACTTACTGTGATTAAAAAGCAAGTAGTATAATGAGTTTATCCTTTCTTATAGGCTTCTAGGTCCCAAGGCCTTACCTGAAGTACCCACTGGTAGAGTGACAGTTTGTTTCATGTTCTCTTACTTCTACTCTTAATTATTAAAGGAAATATTGACAAAGAATTTAAGGAGTAGGAAAGAATGAAAATTTATGCAATTACTGGTAGGTTTGTGATAAATAATTGAATGATTAAAAATTTCAAATGTAATTTGGAAAGCTTAACATCCTCTGTTCTATTACTTTAATAAATGGGTTATCGATAAAACATTTCTTAAGTGACATTTCTCAATGGGCATAGCGACTTTGGCTAAATGCCATTAATGTTGTGGTAGTTACGTGTATTACTACATTTTTATTTTCACTTATGGATTACCTTTTATTTTACATTTCTAGATCCTTAAGAGTAGCCTTTTTTATTCACTTTGTTCATTTATTTATTGCTTGCTCCCTTTCCCTCTCTCGCTCTCTTTTTTAACTTCTCCTCCCTTCCCTTTATTGTGTAGGTTAAATTAAAAGTAATGCTTATAGTCTAAAACCCTTCAGATAAATTGTAAAAAAAAAAAAATCCCTGAAAGACCATTTTTGAAGGAAGAAGACAGGAAAGTTCTTGAGTTAGTTTTGTGAATTTAGTGTTGGTGAGAAATCATGTTTCCTCTTTACCTAGGTAATCATTCATTTATAAATATATATGTGTATATATGTATTTTTAAAAAAAGATTTATTTGAGAGCGAGTGCGTGCACAGGGGAAGGGGGAGGGGTGGGGGAGAGAACCTCAAGCAGATTCCCCACTGAGCACAGAGCCCAGACTTGGGGCTAGATCCCAGGACCCTGAGATCATGATCTGATCGAAACCAAGAGTCAGACATTCAACCCACCGAGCCACCCGGGCGCCTCTGTAAATATATATTTTTAAATGAAAATATCACCATGATTCACATTATCATTTATTAATATTAATGGTTGCTCTTTCTAATAGCATTAGACTTTGGATATACATTCATTTCTTAAATTTTACAGATGTATATGTGTATATTCTGGGCACCCACATTATACCAGGCAGTATGTTAGTGGCAGGACCTACAAAGGTCATTAAATCATGGTTCTGCCTCTCCAGGGCTCCCTGAGTACTCAGGGGCAATGGAGAGGTGTAGTGCAGTCCTCTGGGAGTATCAAGGGTAAAGGGACTGATCTCCTTGGCAGGGGTCAGGGAAAAAGACTTCATAGGAAGATTGATCAGAGTCCTTAACCAACTGAGCCACCCAGGTGCCCCTATTTTTTTTTTTATTTATTTGAGACAGAAGATTGATCAGAGTCCTGAAGATCATACGCCCTAAACAGGTTGAAGATTTGTTTTCCTTAAGAGGAGGAAAAAAAAAAGCTTATTCTTGTTACTTGCATTGTATTTTAATTTGCTAAGTATTTCCAAATTTGAAATTTCAGACTCTTAAAGGAGTCCTGTTCAGTAAGCACCTGTTTTCTGTTGGCTGCTCCAGGGAGAATTTTTTACCCTGCAGGGCAAAAGTGCAGTGTGAGTTGTTTTAATATGGACATCACTGACTTTGTCTTTGATGTTTGGATGCAGCTGGTCAGTGATCAGTGGATATTTGTGTAGCCATTTCCATATATTTATCTCACCCACTCACTCTCTTTAAAACAAATCGATAGGTTTAACCTAATCTTATTAAGGGGAAATGGAGGTAGGAAAAGAGATGAAGTGACTTTTTCAAGGTCACACTGTGACTCATTCAGAGGCAGAGCCAGAAATAGAAGCCGAGTCTACTGATTTAAGTGTGAATGTTTTTGCTTAGTACTCATTTTTGAATGTTTGGTAATGTAAGACAACACAGAGTAAAAACTGTTTATAAAAAATATAGAATCTGAAGTCTTCACTTATGAGATTTTTCAGGTTCTGTTTTTAATAAGGTCAATCCCTTTAATGGTTGAACATCTGGCCTTCCTTGGGCTGGAAGAAGAGTGATTGTTGGTCAGACTGAAGCAGATTCTCTCTGGGCAGCTCTCAGGGAAACTGTTCTTGTGGTGGTATAGTGAATCCAGAAGGACACATGCCCCTGTTTCTCCATTGCCAACTGTTTTCTTGTCATCTGGTATCACATTTGGTTCTTTACCATCCTCTACAGTTTTATGGTGTCTTGGGTATTACCAGAGGCCTGAGGAACAGTGGCATTCTCCTTAGGGAAATTGGTTTTTTTTGGCCTTAATTTTGCATGTCTTTGGATCCATTAATTGCCCGCTGCCTTTGAAGCAGGTGATCATTATATCTATAAGCCTCCATAAACATCTTTTATTTTTAAACCATAGAACGAGGGTTGTCAGCTCTGAGGAAAGGAACAGATGTTTTTCGTTTTTTTACCGCCTTTCAAATGTAGGGAGAAAATTCAAGTGGAAAGAGATCTTCGTGGCACGTGTTTGTATTTGTTTGGTAGATATAAAAACATTTAGTGATGACGGAGACCAAAACTTTATTTTGTTTTAGCTGTTAAAAACTGATGATGTTTTAGGGCATTGCACTGAAATATTCCCACAGTTAATTTGTTTGACATACATCTGTTTCAGTGTTGAGTAGAAAAAAATGGCTTCTGAAATTTGAGAGGTTCCTTTGTACATTGAGTCTAGTAGAAGCTTGTTAATAGATTTTTGCAGTTCGTTAAAGTTTGGACATATAAAATGTTAAATTTGTGATGTCAAATCACTTTTGATAGGAATCTTTCCAAAATCAATTATGTGCTGATCTGTCCTTTTTTAAACACATGGAATCAAAGTTTAATCTGTTTTAAGTGGCTTAATGTCATCTTCAGGCATGTCATTTTTACATGCTGTGAAAACATTGGGGATGCCCTCAACAGCTCATCAAGTGTGCAGGCTGCTGGCTCCTGTCTGTCCTTTCTGAGTTTTTGCATCTTTGTTTCCTGACTCTTTCCTTCCCATCAGCTATTCATTCACAGAGCTTTCTCTCGTCGCCACCCCTCATACTTCTGATTTGATTTTTCTGATCAATTTGTTATCGGTTGGCAAATCCTATAATTATGATGTCAAGTTATATTTATTACATTTCTACTAAATGCCAGACACTGTGTGGTGCATTCCATAATTATCTGTAATCCTTAGAACCGTCTTGAAGTATAGCTATTTATCTCCCTTTTCCCAATGAGCTAAGCAAGGTCCAGACAAGTGAAGTAACTTGCCTAAGGGCATTAAGCTAGTAAAAGCTTCATCTAGGGTATGTACTTAGATAAGCAAATCTGTTGTTAACGTGTATAAAATAAAATCAAGTGTATCAGTGAGCTTTTAAATGACTTGCTAATTAGTAAATGGCTTGCGCATTAGCATTTGGATTGTATGACTCTCATTTTGGCTTTTCTAAAGGTTATCTTGATTTTTATATCCGTAGAGATACTCCACTCTAGGAGTACAGGTTTTCTTATATAGCTTGTTAAATTATTTAACTGTGAATTTGTGAAGGCCAGTTGCTGTCTTATTTCTCATGTCAGCATCTGACAGAGTATAGATGTCCTTCATGTCCAATACCTGTCCAATACATGAAGGAAAGTCAGAAATCATCCCTGATGTGTATATATAATCCATCTGTCTTTCTATAACAGGAAAGGGGATTATATGAATGCTGTTCTTTTTCCTGTATTTTGACTTACTGGGTTCCATATATCAGAATAGATTTTGGTAACAAAAGCTGGGACTGGAAGCACTGTTCTTAAATCATTTTAGTTTGGTCTGAAACATCCTTTCTCATGATTTCTTTAAGACTATTTTGGATTGAAGTCTAGTACCCCAGTGATGGGTTCTAATGACTGCTTTATGAGCTGAGGACTGGCCTACTTTTAAGCGCATTTAGGCACGAGGATGTAAGCCATGTGTATTTGAAATTGAACAGGTGCTTTTATTTTTTTTTAATTTTTATTTTTTTTAGATTTTATTTATTTGACAGAGAGAGACACAGTGAGAGAGGGAACACAAGCAGGGGGAGTGGGAGAAGGAGAAGCAGGCTTCCCGCCGAGCAGGGAGCCCGGTGCGGGGCTCGATCCCAGGACCCTGGGATCATGACCTGAGCCGAAGGCAGACGCTTAACGACTGAGCCACCCAGGTGCCCCGAACAGGTGCTTTTAGAGCTGTGTTTCCTTCTGA